TAAGAACAACTCTCCGTATTAAAAATCTCGCTGAGAAGAAAGGGAGGAGGGTTATAGTGTGTGTTACTAAAAATAGTGTTGATGAATTCTACGACTCCGCTTCTTTAACTCTGATTCTGATACTTCTGATACAAGTAGTTCTTCCACATCTAGTTCAGAATTGGATAATAAGCACATGTGTAAGGCCGTTATACGTCCGAAACGGTGCTGCAGGGTGAAAAAGAAAAGCGATATTACGTAATATTTTTTCGTTTAATGGATTATATTTACCTAATGTAGGAAAGCAAGTCGGCCTACCTGTCTGCCATATTTAATTTTTTCGGTTAGCTCCATGTCTCATAGAGGCGCCCTTTGGGCCTGATTATTTATTAAATAAAAAGCCTTAGTTAATAGCGGAGTTAGTGTCAAAGACACATAAAATCCATATGTTTAATATATACAATATGTATACATATAACTCACTTACATTTCTGGATACCTACCATAAATATTTTTCATATATAGTCACAACTACTTTCAGCAATGTTAGTATATAATCGAGATTTTTTAGAAAAAATTTATTATATTCCTACATATATTTATGTGCCTATTAAAGTACTAAGAAAATTCAGATCCACAAAAGAAATTTATGGGCAATGTATCAAATGTGGATATTGGTATAGAGGACCAATTAGTGTATTTCGGATGCATCAAAAATATTGTCCCAGAAGGCGAGCATATAGTGAGAAACAAGCTGTATTAATTATTCAGCGAGCATTTCGTTCATGGCATCAAAAATGAATAGATTCAACTAAAATAATCCTAAATACAGTAATTAAATGGCTTTATCGACCCGATGGATCATTTATGAAGTAAGCCAAAGATCGATATTATTGCGAAGCAATGATCCAAAGGGTCTATCAAAATACAAATAAGTTAAGTTAAAAATACTAATTTCATTTTGTAGTAAGACATTTTAACTGCATTTATAAATCGCGATCAGGATAATTAGATTTTTTTACGTATGACGTTGCACATTTCTATTACCCGTGACATGTATTCGAGATGTGAAGCTGAAGTGCCATTTATTCCAAAATGGGTACATACTATATCTCAATTAAGTAACAAACAAGAATCATGTGGTACATATGAGGAATTGCTAATTATTGGTAATGTATGCACACGATTTTATAGGTGAGCGATCATCCGATGCACATAATTAGTACGAAGACATCATATTTTATGATCGCTGGCAATTTATTAGTTTGATTTAGTATGAAAATTAAAGAATCAATGCTATAGGTAGCTGATGCTGGATTTTAATATATAAAAATACGTTGATATCGCTGGAGTCTCGGATAAGGGATTGAGTCATACCAAATGCCAAAATTAATAATTAATCAATTTATCAATTGCAAAGCAAATAACTACGAAAAAAATGCAACTTAACATTTCTGATATTTTTTTATTTGCGATTTTCATTGCTATAATCGCTATCTACGAACTATATAATCGGAGCATTTTAACAATAGAGATGGTTTATTCTGTTATCCCCGAAAATACAATATTCTATATAATTATCGCCGTAGTATTTATTTATCTACGAAAATATATAGCTCCAACTCCAGCCCCAATTCCAACTCCGATCCCAATTCAAACTCCAATTTCATCTATGTTGGATGTGAATATAAAAGAGTTAAAACGAGATATGTTGGCTCTAAAAAATGTTCATGCAAGAATAGAAAATGATTTGGAATGGAGAAGTGAAGTTCGAAGTAGAGATTTGTGTTATATTGCAAGTTTAGCGTGTATTCTACATGTTGATTAATACGGCACATATTTCTTTAGGGCGAGTATCTGTGCAGAGCCACCAATCTGAATATCCCGATGAAACTCAAACTCTCTGGATCGAATTTACCACCTTATTTGATGAGAGAAGAAAAAGAGTAAAATGTTTCCCCACAAAAATGTATAATGCTTTATCTCAAGAAATTAATCTCAATCCCGTAACACTTGTAACCTTTTACCAACACCAGAGAATACCACAACACACCTCATTGGATAAAATTGCAGATTGGGTTGAAAAAGAAAACCAGAAAAAAGATAACTCTCTTATTATTAGCAGTAGTAGCAGTAGTAATAATAGAGACTTGGAGAGCCATTTCTCACAAAATAATAGCGGAACTAGTGTCTTACCGACACATAATTTTTCAAGTAGTAGTAATACCCATGGTAGCTCTGCTATAATTTTAGATAATAGTAATAATAATGACAATAACTTAGCTAGTAACACAGAGTAGGGAAAGGAACTCTCATTTTATAGGTTAGGACTCGAGATGTTCCTCCCTTTAAACATCCGCTACTCCACCATTCTATGAATTATAATTTAACGTAAAAAATAATGTTGAAATATGTGTCAGAGACACTAGCTCTGCTATACAATTATTATCAATAAAGTTATCAATTATTTGTTATTACCTTGTAATGGGTCTTTGACCCTATTTTTATTTCGTGGTTTTGCAAGTGTTAATGATTGAGTGTGAATCCAATCGCAGTTGTAATTTATGTAACCCATGTGATCGCAGAAAATGATTTAACTGATTTTTGTTATGTATATATCGGTTAGCTTTATTAATTATTTATCGTAATAGCGAATTTCTATATTCCACGAATTCAGGTATATGATATATTATATTTTTTAGCCAGAATCGGTAATACATTTGCTGTATCCTTGGCAGTAATTATATCGCTAATTGCTTCAGCTGATAAGTGTATAGCACCTGATCTTAATTTTTTAGACATTTATATATACAAAAAATAAGTTAATTTACATGTAATTTAGTCACATAATTTATTGTTTGCTTGACAATAAAGTCAATTATTTTTATACCGGGTTTGTGAAATGTTTTATGTGAAATAAAATTTATTTGTAATGTACATATCTAAGATTCGAATATACACTATAAGTAACTATTTATGCTGTTATCGCAATTCCAATTTTAGATGAGCTAAATAAGCAATTAATATAATAAGATCCTTCTCTATATCTGCCTAATATAGATTCCCTGTGATATTGATTACATGCAGGGCATACTGATAATGAATCGGTTATTTTATAGGTATTATCTTGCAAGCTCGCACTAATTACGTAGTCATCAAAATAATTACTACTACCTTGCAAAGTTATGTTAGGGTACTGCTCCAATACCTTATTAATAATGTGGAAACGATTATTTTTTAGATTATTCTGTTTTTCAGATAATATTTTAGGTTGAGATGTAGATATTACAGGTATTGCACTTACCTCAGCTTTAAATGAATTGGAAACGTGAGATTCCGTAGATATACTTATCTTGGTCTCAGTTTCCGGTAAAGATTCAGATGCGATAGCATCCTCACTTCATGAGACTTCCTCAATTATCTTATTTTCCGAATTGCTGGAGGTAGACACGGAGCTAGAGGTATAGGACAATGGAATAGAGGAAGTGGTTATATTACCTGTCTCTATTTCAGATGAGATTTTTCTGGGACCACTGGTCTCTGAAATTTCAGTATTTTCGAACGAAATTTGATGTCCTGCATTATCTGTATTGACGTTCTGACAAGAATAATTTATAATCTCTTGAATTTGATCATTAGTAAGCTTTGAAATGGAATTCGCACTATATGATTTGATGTATTTGATTTTATCATAGCCTATTTTTTCGAATAATATATAAATTTTCTCAGCTCTCTGAGTTTTTTTGCGCAAAGCATTCCACGATATTTCTGGAAGATGTAAACCTAATTCTTGAGATCTTTTTTTATGAATAATAGAAAGTTGTTTTGTAATAGAATCGTAAAATAAGTTTCTCGTCTTCTTTTCACCAATTTTACCTCTGCTATTTTTAATAATCTCATTGAACTGAATCCTGAAATCCTTTCCGTAAATGGACCAACATAAGATTTCTTCTTGGTTAGCTCTATTTGCACCATCCTCAGCATCAAAAGCTTTATCACATAACTGAGCTAGATGTTGTGATGTTTCGTCAATGTTAGATTTTCTGAGACCGCCAGTCTCAAAAATTTCAATCACATGATTTTGAATTATATTTGATTCTTGTAGAGACGACTTTGGAGTAAATAATTCTTGAATCAACCTCTGCTCACCTTTTACACTCAAAGAACCCTGGGAAGTTATGATTTTCTCTTGATCTCGAAGTTTCTTCTCCTTAATGCTCTGAATGATCTCTTTACTAACTGTTTCTCTATGCTTTGAATCCAGAAATTCGTCAATTGCTTTCTCTTCTGATGTATTGCCATTCTCTATAGGAATAAGAGATGTGGAAGGTCAGCTATCCTTTTCCTGGAATATATATGAATTAGATGTGATATTGGAACTATTTTCTATTCGTTCAGGAGCAACATCAGAATTTAAAGTATTATCAGATATATTAAATGTCGAAGTATCATTAGTATTTTTCATTTTGATAGAGATGGTATTAACTGAAGATTAATCGATTCCCTTGGCATCATCATCTGATTTAACAATAAAGTTGTTTTTTTCATTGGTTTGCGATTGCTTCTGTTCTAATTTCGCAACTCTAGCTTTAAGCTCAGTATTTTCAACAGCAGTGTCATTATCATTCTGCTCCAGTTTCACAAATCTGAATTCATGTTCTTCCAAAACTTGTTTTAATTTTACATTCTCAGCTTTAAGTTCGATGTTTTCGGCTTTAACTTTGGAAAATTTTTTTCTTAGTTCAAGAATTTTAGCATTCTCCTTTCTAAGTTCAGTAATCTCAGATGCAAGCCTAGAGTTTAATTCTCTCAAGGTGTTGATTGTTGATTGATCATTCGACATTATTTTATTACAAAATAGGATATATTCAAAAGGTTAACCACATGAAAAAATATTGGTAAAAAATTGCACCAATGCGCATTTGCTTTATTGATTGTAATAAAAATCGAAAAGAATTAAATCTATCTATTGTTTCTAGACTATTGCCTACACAATTAAGGTAATTTATGACTATACTTTCGTATAGATTTCTAAGGAAGGAAACATAAACTTTCAGCTAAAGTTAATATTGTTAGTTCATTTTGTTTCGTATAACTGATAGCCATAGTTAATATTAGTCATGTTGGTATGGATTATACATGTTCCCAAAATTGATTTTGGATTTTTGAGGTATTTCGACTTTTTGAGATTTATGCAAAATCTATTCTATATATGGAAGTAAAAAAAGTACTTAGTTATATGTATCTTTAATCAAAGAATAAATCTGGGTGGTCAAAAAATTTTGGGTTTTAAGTAAAATAATTTTGTCTTCTATAAAAAACTATTTCGACTTTTTTCCCCGAAATCGTAATTTCGGAGCCCCAAAATAATTTTACGTGCAAGTATAGTACGGATAATTTAGAGAAATGAAAAACTTATAGCGTGTTCAGAACTCCAGAAATAAAATCATTGATTATTTCTGATTGCAGGATCTGATCGAATCCAATATACAAACATTACCTTAATCACCTGAACTCGCTTTAAAGAAATCTTCAAAAATTCGCTTGGAGAATTGTGTAGCACATGATGTTATACATGTGACATAGAGCTTTGATTGGGTAACATATTATGTCAAATGACTGTACGCGTCAAAAAATTTCTATAATCATGAGGCACGAATACTTTGACTAAAATAAACCTGAAAATTGAAGTATTATCGGCTTCTTAAACGAATATGATATCGAACCATTTGATTTAAAAATAGATTGCTATATAAGGTGCCTCGACACAATCTCTAATTCGAAACAAGGTGACAGGCAAAAAAACGCAAGTGTGCTTCTCGATAGATACAAAATGGCAAGTTAAAATCCTTCATATCTTATTTGAAAGAAAAAGTGGCATGAATGGAGGCTTCTGGGCTGCCGGTCATTCAAGGCCATCATTCGCTGAGCCATGAAACTGGTGCTGGCGTACAGTTGACTTAGTCATCTGATGCCAAAAGCTACTCGCTGATCTAGCACTGGACCCACTTGAAGCACAGGTAGCTTCCGAGCTGCGATGTGTTCCAGTGGGATGAAAAATCGATATTGAATGAAAAAATACTAATTAAGACTAATTCCAAATCTCCATACTAAAGTCCCAAACCTGATCAAAAAAAAGCTAGAGAATGGAAGGAAAAATGCTCGTGTAGACAGGTACAGGTCCACCAGTCAATCAATGGAAATGGAAGTTTCGGCATGGTCGGGAATGTAAACAATTCGGAAGTTTATGTTGCAGATGCAGAACTGTCCTCAAAGGAAAGAGATCAGAAGGAAGTACAGGAAACATTGGACGAAAGAAATGCAGTTCCATTGGCACGGATGAAACTTAAGGTGATTAAATTTTCAATATTATTTTGTGCCATATTCATGATACTAAGAATATTACGTATGTTTATACCTGCCACCCAAATTCAAAATCCAAATGCCGAAATCCCAAATGCCGAAATCCCAAATCCCAAATCCCAAATTATGATTAGTATTTTTTGCCGAAATCCCAAATCCCAAATCCCAAATACTAGTAATTTGGGATTTTGGCGTCCCAAATCCCAAATGATTTGGGATTTGGGCAACACGTATACGTATGTTGTCGTTTCGTTTCTCGCAATTACTTATCACCATTCATAAAATATCTTATAGAAAAGAAAATGATGTTCATTGGAGAAATTAGACAGGGAACCATCTCAAACTCCGGTATTCTTCCATTATTTTTTTTTCATCTCATCATATGCAGTAAATTCATTTTTCATCTTATTATTTAGGTGTTAGATGATAATGACGACGATGATGAGAAAAAAGAATCCAGATATAATCTTAGAAGTAATAAAAGAAAAAATCATGCTGAGGACACTTTATCAGTTGATGAAGGACTTGACACGATGGTATGGATGTCTAATACTTAGATGGAAATTTTGTCTTTATTTGTTTTAAAATTTGAGAATTGTAAGTATCTTTGGAAGATATCGAAAATATTCTAGAAAATCATAAAGCTAATTATGAAGAAAAAGATGAGTTAGCTGAAGATGAATTTGAAAAAAAGGTATTACAGTTATTTCTTTCAACAACCAAAAAGTAAATTACTCTCACATACGAATTATTAAACAGTTTAACAGAAGCAGATATAATCAATATAAGTTCAAATAAGCCTCCTTTAATAAGTAAAGAATTTTTCAGTAGATTAAAGACAGAAGCAAAATCCTGACCTCTGCTTCACATTAAGGTTGATAGACTTAAAAAGTGAATACAAGAAAATTATGATGTAAAGAAAATAAATATATTTGTCTACCTTTTGTTTATTTATTTGATTTATTAACATGGTAATTTCACATTTAGCATAAAATAACCACCACAATATCAAATATTCAATCAATAACAACTATTGGAGATTTCGATACAAAACAGGTTGACTTTATAAAATGAATACTAGAAATCAAACTCATGCAATTCCAAGCTGGACATGATAAAAAACTTAATTTTCCCATGGATGAAAATACATACACCTCAACAATAGTGTCGCCTGATTTTGAAATTTTAAAATTTTGTTTTCCAAAGTTGTTTATTAGCAGATGGTAAATGAAACAAAAAGAACAAATGTATATGTATAAACCCATATTGCTTACTAGTTTAACTATATCTTTTTAATAGGAATGAAAATGATGTTCCTTCATCTACCGTGATAGTAGTGCCTTTGCACATAAGGCAGACGGTATCCTTTTTAATTATAATGGTACCAGTCAAGAATTCTTACTTTTCAAGAATGTTGGCCTACCATTAAAGACCAAAAATTCTAAATATAACAGTGATCTTTTAAAATGTTTTTGAAACTCTGTAAATTCAATATGCAAAACTTTCTGAAATGGAAATGGAGATGTAGAATTTGTAAAAAAATACTATGTATTATCATATGTGTTGTATAGTAAGTTTTTATTATCAGTTTCTATTCTGTTGGTATATACTACTAGCTAAGATTTTTATTTAAAAATATAGAGGACAAAGGCAAATTGTTTAAATTGAACTTGGGTACCCCTACACTGGTCGAAAATTGATAAAACATACACATATCGAGTACCCGATATGTGCATGGTGTTTCCCTAATATCGGACATATATCGGGTACCCGATATGTGTAGAAAATATTTTATATATATATCGGATACCTGATAAGTGTAAAAAAATATTTTTTACACTTATTGGGTACCTGATATATGTTCGATATTAAGGACACACCATGCACATATCGGGTACCCGATATGTGTATGTTTTATCAATTTTTGACCAGTGCTAAAACCTTTGTTGCCAAAAGGATATTAACAGTTAATTACCCTTTTGAGTATTCGGCCTTTCCTTGCATTGTCAGTATTATTGAACTCCTTTTTACAGTTAAGGTAGTATTTTTTCTTATAAGCTTTAATTAATTGAGGTACGAGATTTTCCAAAATATTTTCTTACATCAATGCATTTGCATGCAGGCTATTTTTGAATCCAATCTAGATGTTCTTCACGATTATTCCAAGTCATGTATGGAAACATCTAATAGTCTCACACCAGTTCGGAAGTGGCTTTGTTTGAATAGGAAAAGTCTCTAAAAATTATGCTGTTACTAGAATACTTATTTTGGTATTATAACATGATTTTGTCTCATCAATAATATAATATTTTGCTAAATAAATAAGCGGTTGTGCATTTTATATATATTATTATATGAAAGTACCTAAAGTTTTCCTTGACCTTCAAATGATTAGTTTTCTTTGTTAAACTTTATTAAGTTATGTGTGCATTACAATTTATAAATTTATGTGTGCGTGACAATTTGTCACGCTAATCACTTTTGCTAAGAAAATTATTTCGGAAAAATTTTCGATCATATATATATATTACACAAAAAATAACACATGGTATGTTGTACGCCTTTTAACAAAAAATCTTTATTAATGAAATATACGATAAAAATACAAGATAAAAATACAAGATAAAAATACAAGATATATATATGGTAAAAATACGGGATAAAAATCTATCTAATTAATAATTAGAAGAAGGGGGTGTCACCGTTAAACTATCTAAATTTCTATTTGATCTGCGATCATGTGCACTGCGTAATAGAGACATATTAACTATTAATGTATTGCAGAATAATAATAAAGTATATATAAAATCAGCTAAAATGGAAGGATCGTTGGAATATCGAATAGGGATTTCTGCTTCATGTAATTTATAATATCGATGGATTTCAAGTTCGTCTCTAATAAGAACATTCAAACTTAACCTACATCCAGTCACTTGTATTCCAATAATGCCAAATTGTTCCTTTTTCAACTGACAACTTTTTTGTGTCCAGTATAACCCATCATTACATTCACGCCATAATTTTATATCATCATCCTCTTCTTTTTGTTTAGTACAGATGATCC